AAGTAGGCTACAAAGAAGAGCAACGTGTACAAGATCAAAGCTTTTTGACGTGAACCTCGATGTGGGTTAGATAGGAGGCCCGGTTACTTGGCAAGAATCAAGCACTTATTTTACTTTACTTTTTAATTAAAGAGATATTATGAATTTGTAATGAGCTCAATACCAAAAAGTACAATGCAAATCTAGTATCTATACAAGGGCAAGCTGAGGATTCATTTAAGATTATTAAGCAAGATTATAGTGTATGTGTCATATGTGAGACATGGGATTTGATACAAAGAGCATTTAGTGGACATTATAAATAACAAAGGCAGTTGAACCATTCATATAAATCTAATATTGATTTGCCCAAAGTGATCCAACGCCAGAAATCCAATCTAAAATCAACAAAAGCTCCCAGACATCAATAGGATTGATATTCCTTAACAATCCCCGCACGTTCTGGACAAAATACTCATAAAAAAAATCCAAAACACAAACAAAATCAAACATAATAAGGACCTTTTGGCATGCAGTAGAACAAGAACAATTATTTAGTGGAGTAAATACCTAAAGACTTTCTAAGAGTGTCAAATCGAAGTTTGTCTAAAGGTTTTGTAAGCGTGTCCATTTTAGGATTAGAAATAATAGTGGATGCATGAAGATATTTAAGATTCAAATTTTCTAAAGCAGCAGGTTCACACACAACATTAGTTGAGGCACATATATACATTTATGATTTTCCTTTTTCCTCCGACCTAACTTTGTCTTTGTTAATGGTGAGGAACGAACAAAAGAGAGTTTGGATAAGTGTTTTACCTCTTTCATAAGATTTGAAATCTTATGTCGGATTCTTACCTTGCCTCCCATGACATGAGAATTCGACCTTACAGTTCAATTATGGAGCAAGTTGCACTTTGGTCGAATATGGCCACGAGTGCCACAAAAAATGACAAATTGGAACGAATCTCTTGACTTCTTGAGTAGATGCAGGTTTAACAGGTAGAGAGGATTTGACAAACTTCGTTTTCAACACAACGAAAGACTTATTACTTGGTTCAAATCCCAAGCCTCGTTTGTCACCATCTCTTCTTCCCATGCTAATCATATTGTCAATTTTTTATGCATCAATAATTAAAGAAACAATATTTTTCTTTGAAATTTTAAGTTCAACTATAAGGGCTTTGTTGTCATAGGTTAGAGAAATAATTAACTTATTCTAGTCAGTTAACTTTTTCTGCAAAAACATCAACTTTTCGTTCATACCAACACTTACCTTTTTGGAATTTGTGTCAGGGGATTGAAACCCGTTTACAATCTTGCTATTTTCCAACTTCAGCGTGGCAACGGATTTGAAAATCTCTTCATTTCATTTGCTGAATTTCTAAGAAGCATCCAACAAATCATCATATTTCTTCATCATAAGCTTAATATTCATATCTTCACAATCACGATCCTTCTTTGTTGGTTTATCCAAGCGTACGGTTGTGATAAGTGCAATGGCCTTCTCATCATTTTTAGAGTCAGAATCAATGTCACTCCATGTAGTATGTAGTGCCTTATTTTTGCCATCCTTTTGTTTCTTTCAGGTGTTGGCATATTCCGAAGATATGTGACCGTAACATTCACATTCGAAGCATTTGACATTTTCTTTTTCGGTTCTTTTATTCATTTGACCTGCGAGATTTAGACACACCATCAGTATAATAAAAAAAATTATTTTAGAATATATATATATATATATATATATACCTGAATTATTCTTTGACTGCCCATCATCTTATTCGTTCACAACTTTGAAAGCAATATTTTTGCTCTTTTTAGGAGGTAAGTGTTTCATCTCATAGGTTTGGAGAAAACCTATGAGTTCACCCACTTTCTTAGTATTCAAGTCTCGAATCTCTTCAATGGTTGTGACCTTCAGTTGAAACCTCTTAGGCAATGATCTCAAAATCTTTTTCATAACCTTATCTTCTGAAATATTTTCACCTAAGTTTGAGCATGTATTCACAATGACACATAGTTTAGCATAAAATTCAGAAAAAAAAATTCATTATCATCCATCACAAGTGTCTCAAACTATAGGTTGTGCATTTGGAGTTTAGCCCCTCTTACTATACCGGTTCCTTCATGAGTTACCTGCAAAATGTCCCAAGCTTCCTTAGAAATATCACAACTACAGATATATTCAAATTGATTAGAAGAGATAGCAGTAAATAAAGCATTTTACCCATTTTGGTTACAAGTTCAATTTTCCTGTTTCCAATTTCCCTGTGCCTCCATGTTTCCTATCTAATTTTTTGACACATGTCACTCCATTAACTTCTAACCTAACACTGTTAACTTTTAATAAAATTAGAAAAATAAACTAATTATTGTGAGAAAATAAAAAGGGAAAAACCAACAGCCACCATAGCAACACACCCACCACCCAACATGGTCAGCCACCCAACCCTTCGGCAGCAACCTTTTCTCCTCCCATCTCTTCCTTGCCGCAGACAAAAGCCTCCTTTCTTTTTTTATCTCTCTCAGTCTTGTCTCTGTTACGATCTTGAGATCTGTAACTCAAGATCTCACTCATGTAAGGCAAGCTCTTTTTCAACATGCCTTAATATGAACAACAATATAATAATTCTGGGTAATGGGACTAAAACCCATAGCCTTCTTGACCGAAATTGACAAAACCAAGGGCTGAGGAGTAATCAGATTCAAATATGAGCATAATCCTCGAACTATCTTGAATACCCAAATGAGGAAGAAGCCCTTTAATGTCTTTTTGAAGAAGTGTATGTCATCTTGTTCAAGCCTTGAGGGAAGAATGCTTTGCCAGAGGCAAGGATGAGATGGGAGGAAAGAGGGTTGCAGCCAGAGGGGTGGGGTGGCTGACCACATTGGATGGGTAAGGGGTTGTGGTGGCTGTTGGGTTTTTATTTTCTCTTAATAATTATTTTTTGTTTTTCTAATTTTATTAAAAGTTAACAATGTTAAGTTAGAGGTTAGTGGAATGACAGGTGTCAAAATATCATAGAGGAAACTCGGAGGTCACAAGTAAATTAGAAACATGAAAATTGGACTCTTTGGTTATTAGTATTGTGTGTGACTTCTTCACTGGTCAATTCCTCTCTAGTTTTGAGGACTGTGCTTTCTTCATTTCCTTTTTCAATTGTGTTTGTAGTTTTAGAAAATCCATGAACCACTATATTCCATATATGTTCATCTAGAGACCAAAGGAATGACTTCATTTTAGCCTTCCAAACACCATAGTTGTTGCTATCGAAATATGGTGGAAGTACAATTGATCATGCGGCACGTTCCATCCTAAAGTATGTTGGATCTTACTTAGTGTGTTCAGCAACCTACTTTGATACCAATTGAAATTACCTGTAGGATAGCTTAAAACACTAGAAGTGAGGTGAATAGTACGTTTACAGATTTTAAGTGTAACAAAGGAATAAAAAAAAGGCCCAGAGGATTGATAAGTGGTATCAATCCTTGAATGTATAGAACGTAAAAATAAACAACACACTAGAATTATTTACGTGGTAAAACCCCACCTCTGGGGGAAATCCATGAGACTCCTCAGTCCAAAACAAATCCACTATAGAATGATGATTACAAGAAGTACTCACATACTTATCCTAATACACATTCTAGATAATGTTTACTGACTTCTTCGTAACTCGACTTCTAGCGGGATTACTTCTTTCTCTCCTTATGTTGAATGAGATACTGGACACGATCAATTCATACTTGCTGGAGGTATGAGGCACTTGTAACTTATGCAGAGTAATGCAAATGTATGAAATGACAAATCACCAAGATAATCTTACTCTTGATGATCTACCCTTAAGAAAACAATGCACATCAACTTTCTTTAATTGGTTGGAAATCAGAAAATTCACGTTGAAAGTTGTGTAGAGAATGAAGCATAGGCTTCCTTTTTATAGTGGTTTTTAAAACAAGAAAGAAAACCAATCAGCAACTAAAATTGATAATCAAATATATTGATTTACAAAGAAGATTGATTGATCTCCAATCAAGCTGTCACCGAGAGATCAATTTATAAAGAATGGTATAATGACAAAGATGAATCTCAATCAAATAAGAAAACAAAGAAGACCTTTGAGGTGAAAAACTGGAAAGTAGTTTTTTGAATTGAAACCAACTTTCTTTAAACAAAAAGCCTTCCCAATCAAACTTTAATTATTTTAAAATCAGAGCTCCAAACAAATCCTTGATTTGAAAACAATTCTAAATTCAGCACAATCAAAATGCATGATTGAATGATGATATTACCTTAGAAATCGTTGATTGAACCATGTGGCTTCAAATCAGAGCTTGGGATTGAGACATTTGCCATTGCTAGTCTATCACAATAAGTTTACCATTTATGTTAATCTATCTAAGGTCTAGGGAATGACAATCACATAATCATATACTAACATGACTCACATTGGTCGATTGGGAATATGGAGAAAGAAAGACCGAAACACAGTTTAAAATTAGGGAGTTGTCTTGAGTGGTTGAATTGTTTAATAGTCTTCATTTTCAGTTGTGAAATGTTCAAAAATCAATCCATTTGGTCCTTAACTTTTTAATGCACACATCAATTTGGTCACTCTTGTTTGCATTTCATTATAATAATAAAAAAATGGTCACTTAATGGTATGTGACCAACTTTAAAATGATGTTTTCATCAAAATACAACCTATTCATAAAAAAAGAAATAAACCTCACGTCCAATGCTCAATAAGTTAATATGTTCTCCTCAATGTAACTTCAATGTGAAACTTTAAATGAAGAGCATATATACCTTATCCAGCAAATAACATGTACTTCATTTTGTTTAATTTGTGGATGAGATATATTTTGATGAAAGTAATGTGACTAATTTAATGAAGTTTGAGGGATCAAATTAGTATGTATACATTCACACGGTTTTTTTATATAAATTTCTCACACACATTACTACAGTGTTATAGAAGTTCGAACTTGAGATTGAGATCACAATCTATAAGTCAATGCAATTTTCAACTAGATTAGACCTTAATGACAATAATAGGTAATGTAGACTATCAACAACAAATTAGTGTGTATGATACAATATGGTCAATTCCAGAGGCTTGTGATAAAAAGTTTAAAAACCTCACTTCCAAAAACCCAAACCCAATAAAAATTCAAGAACACCCCATCATTGAGAAAAAAAGACCGGTAGGTCCGCAAGTAAAGATCCGTGTATCGGAAGCATAACTGGAATTGCTGAGAGCTTAGAACACAGTTTGGGGATTTGACCAAAACAGAACAAAAACGAAAAAAAAACGAAAAAAAACGAAGAAGAAAACAGAACAGAGCTTGGTGGTGAACAATACTTGGTGGACAAGTGAAGTGACAGTGATTAACACAGCGAATTGCGAAAGAAGAGAGAATGCATTACTGGGTTCGAGCTTCTTCCTCTGATTTTGCTGGAACTCTACCCCAACCTCGCAGGCAAAAACTCTGTCTCTGTATCTCTCTTTCTCTCATATGGGTATATAGCTTTGAAGATTTTCCATTTGAATTTAGTTTATGCTTTGAATTCTCAGTGGTCACACTGCCGTCATTATCGGTGGATCGAAGGTGGTCGTGTTCGGAGGCCTTCTAGATAAGAAGTTTCTCAGCGATATCGTCGTCTATGACATTGGTACTTTGTTTCTCGCTCTCTATACATTTCATTGTGCTTTAGTTCGATTTTGATTGATATTTTCCTCTGGGTTCTCATGAATTCATTCAAATTTTGTAAATTTTACTCTCTGGAATTTCTGGGTATACGTGGTGTTACCGTTTTCACTATAGAATCTCATTTTAGGATTTGTTTTTTCTTCTCAGATAACAAATTGTGGTTTCAGCCAGAGTGCACTGGTGGCTCTGATGGACAAGTCGGTCCAAGCCCGCGAGCCTTTCACGTTGCTGTTGTGATTGATTGTCATATGTTCATCTTTGGTGGGCGTTCCGGTGGCAAGAGGTATCTTCACATCCATTACACGTTCTGCTCTATTATTCTGTTACTTTAATGCAAATGGTATTAACAATGAAGTTCGGTTTCAGGTTAGGTGACTTTTGGGTCCTGGATACTGGTAAGAATCTATTTATTATGTGCTTCTGACAATGCATGAGAACGATAAGTATGAGCTTATCAAAGTTAATCTATTTGGTTTGTTGCTTTTTCTTTTGCCTCCCTTTTAATTGCTGAGTATTGAATATGTGTTACATAAATTTAAGTTTGTTCTTGCTTCAGTTTGGAGAATTAATGTGTTAAGTTGGATACAATGTTGTGGTAATCATTCTTTAGATTAAATAATACAGTATTTTTCTCTGCCTCAAAAACATTTATGTTTGTTCCAGATATATGGCAATGGTCAGAGTTAACAAGTTTTGGCGACTTACCTTCTGCACGAGATTTTGCTGCAGCTTCAGCTATTGGAAATCGGAAAATTGTTATGTGAGTATATTCATTGCACCTTTTATTTATTAGGTGATGTTATGTTTCTCTATTAACTTTCCTTTTATTTATTAGGTGATGTTATGTTTCTCTATTAACTTTTGTTATGTAAAATGCAAACAAATGCAGGTATGGTGGCTGGGATGGTAAAAAGTGGTTGTCAGATGTGTATGTCATGGATACAAGTAATTTTTTCTATATGATTTTTGAATAACGTGTTATTTTCTGCTTCATGTTTGGTTGAGAACATTTGTTGAAATGGATGTAAATCAGTTATCTCTTGATCTTCTTCCTTAAACAGTATCACTAGAGTGGATGGAGCTGTCAGTTACTGGATCATTGCCACCAGCAAGATGTGGCCATACAGCTACCATGGTTGAGAAAAGGTTGCTTGTCTATGGTGGCAGAGGTGAAGTAGCATGCTTTGACTATGTTAATACTTGGATGTCATTAACCGACTCTTTTTTCTAGTTTCACTTTTCTTTGCTCTCTCTCTCTCTCTCTCTCTCTCTCTCTCTCTAATTTATTTTATTCTATTTGACTTTTTTTAAGTTTGCTATGAGCAATCTCCTCCATTATGGTAAAAGGATGTAATTTGTTATCATTTACTGTTCCTTCTAGATAATATGCCACAACGTAACTAGAGTTGCATTACTCGTTTTCTTCCCTTCTGTGTTCCAATAGTGGCAACTAATTTGCAGAAAGAAACAGAAAATAAAAATAAAAACAAATAGTGATTTAGGGAATGCTTATTTGTAAAAGTTTCTTTCATTATTTTGTCAATGTTGAGAAATAAAGATGCCTTTCTTATCAATTGGAAACCTAATGTTGAAGCTGTAGTGTCTTATATTTTTGTTGTTGCCGTCTCTGCCATTTTGATGTAATTTCTTTGATTGTAGTCTGGATTTGTAGGCCAGCAGACAGCTTGTCCTCTTTTTGGCACTCTTTCATTTCCCCTCAAAGTTTCCTACCGAAAAATTCTGCAATTTCTCACATCACATTAAACCAACCTAGTTAATTGAGGCATAACGATTTTGTAATTCCAAGGTAAATCCCATCACCCCTAGAATAAATTTTCATTTTCCACATGGGGTCTTCCCTTGAAATTTACTTGTGAAGGTAGACCATTCTTTCCATGGGATATCCATTATTGCAGATCATTTTAGGGTCTATGTTTTTGCACTAGTCATTTGGGGCATTCCTTATTAAGTGATAATACTATACATTGTATCCATAAGCTTTTTGAACGCTTGAATAATTTGGTATGACAAACTTCTACTGTTTGACTGTCCATGACTACCTTGAACTGTTTGATTTAAAGTAACAGGATAAATGAATTTATGTTTGTTTGTTGATATATGAATTTATTTTGTTCATTGATATATGAATTTATTTTTGTTTGTTGATATATGAATAGTAATCTAATCAATCTCAAATTTACTGCTAGTGCTGCTTTTTTTTTCTTCCTCTTCTCCTTTTCACTCTTAGTATAGCTCATATGTATATATGCCAATTTTTGCTTTTCTGTGTAAGAACAAGCATTAGATGCTTGGGTTCATGTTAGTGGATTTAGCAGCTTTTAGCTGACATGAGTACTCGTCTTGCCTTTCATAGGAGGTGGAGGTCCAATCATGGGTGATTTATGGGCTCTGAAGGGTCTAATCGAAGAAGGTTAGCAGTTAGTCCCCTTTTTATGATAGTCTACTACTTCCCTTAAGTTTATTTAACATGAGTTTTGTCATGGCTCCAACTTTTGGTTTTACTTTGTTCTCATGTTTCTGAAAATTGCTCTATTTCTTGAGATTATTTTATTGCATATTATGTTTCCTCTTGAGATAACTGTAACTTGTGCTCCAATTACAGCACTAGTCTAGGAGATGGATTTTCACCTTCTAATTACTGCCATGTAAATTAAAATAGTAAAATTACTCATCCTTTTGACATTCAGCCATGGTATTAGCTTTTTGTTGCACCCTCTTTGAACCTTACCAAACTGAGGTCTAGCCACCAAAAGATATGTAAGAGTTTTTCCTCAAAGATGGATGCATCATTTTAGTTTTGCTTCTGTCTTCCAAATGGTACTATAAGGATTAAGGAACCCCCTGCAATTTCTTCACTTGGAAGCGCACATGTATTTGATATGGAGGAGATTGTTTGCACCTGCACATATTTAGGGCTATTATTTTTCTTCTCTTTCGTTTCTTCTTCTTATTCATTTTTTAAAGTACTCAATCCATGAGCTCTAACTTCATATATGTCAATTCAAGATACTCATTGTGTGTGTATATATTACTACTTGGTTTTTAGTTGTTCAACTGAATTTAGTATTTTGTCTTGTTTGTTGTGGAAGCAAGAGAATGAAACACCTGGATGGACCCAATTGAAGCTTCCTGGTCAAGCTCCTTCTCCACGTTGCGGCCATACCATCACATCGGGAGGGCACTATGTAAGTGACATTTGCTTTGAGTTTTTTTATGTTTGATACACTTTCTTCATGGACGACATTTACTTAATTACACTTCAGTTTACTTTTGTACTGTTGTGTTATTACGGAGAAACTGGTTAGGATAGGATAATTTTAGTAAAGGAAGAAGGATCACCATTCAAAGCTTTAAGTTTACATACATATTCTCAGATGCCATGTTCACCATTTAAGCGCTTTCTTCCTTGGTGATAGACATCACTACTTGAACAAGTAGCTTCAGAAGGAAAGAAAGAGACGAAAGCAATCCCTTGCTCCGGCCCTTAGAATACCATGAATCTTGACCCTATAGTGAAAATTTTCATTTGTTTGTTACTTTTACAATTGTCTTACTTTTGCATAAGTTGTATGCATTCAGCTCTCATGGCAAGTAGTCTAGATTTGTCTAGAAACACTTGGATTCTGACCTACAGGAACCTTAACCTTAAAAAGTTGCTTCATATTTTCTTTACAGAAAGTTGTAGATTATTTTTTGTAACATTCAGATCTGCCCTCATAAAGCTTGTTTCAGTGATTAGTGATTAGTTCCATATATGGTGATAATTTGGGAAAGCATGGTTATTGTAGGCCGAGCCTTAAATTAGGAGAGGAGGGATGAAAAGGAAAGAAAATGCATATAAAATAAATAAGTTTATATGTTTGATTGTGAATGGTCAAACCAATTCTAAAAATCTGTCACACTCACACACAATAAGATAAAGAAGAAACACTTCAATTCTGAATCTTAGACTAACGAGAAGAGGTTGACCCTAGTATCTATCTTTTTGTAACACTTTGGCCAAAGCAAGTAAACTTCAGTTCTGTATTCTACGGTTGTTGATTACAAGAATCATATTTATATTGATGATGACAATGGCAGATATGGGCTTAACCAAGTTGGCTAGAGTGGATGTGCTCCCCACTCTGCACCCCAATTCGAATCCTCCTCCCCGTAGTTTTGATTAGTTTAAAGTAGATTATTGCTCCTGTCAAACAAAAAAAAATTATTGATGATGACAATGGATATTATCATATCATCGTATTCCTTTTTGTTTTCAATATTTTATTGTTGTCTTTTGTACCTGATTATAGAAACTGTACTTGCAGCTGTTGCTATTTGGTGGCCATGGAACGGGTGGCTGGTTGAGTCGTTATGACATTTATTACAATGACTGCATTGTTTTAGACAGGGGTGACTACTTCTTGCCTTTCTGTTTGTCTTTTAGCTGATTTGTGCGGAATGTGCCATCTTTGATGAGCCATTTTTATTTTACCATGCTACTACTGTTTTGACAAGCAATAGGCCTACCATTCAACTGACAGAAGTGCTCCAATTAAAATTTCAGTATTCAACAACCCATGTGCTTTATTGGTCCACTTTTCTTATGTTAGAGAAGAAAGAAGTAAAATGTATTTCATTGCCCACCGAGATACCGCATTCTTGAATAATCCTATAATTGAGAACCTACAGAAACTTTTAGGTTGTCATACACAGATGTCTTGACTAATGCCATTAACAACCACTGCTTAACATGGAAACCTGAAATAGAAAAGTGTGTTGCACTATTAAGATCAGTTTATAAAAATTAGCAAAATGGGGATTACTTTAAATGCTGAAGAAATATTTTGTTAATTATATCTTATATACTTAGTAGACAACTGTATAGTGTGAGACATTTCTAAGTTTTTGATATAGTTGTTTTGATTTCCGTCATTCTTTGGCAGAACTTGATTTACAAAATTGTGAATCATTCCCTACCGACCATACCCAACACATTTTTGTTTCTTGACATGGTTTGAATTCTTTCCTTATTTTGTGCATTTATTTTTAATTTTTCTTTCCTCTGGAATCAAGTTTCTGCGCAGTGGAAGCGCTTGCCTACTGGCAATGAACCCCCTCCTGCTCGAGCATATCATTCTCTAACATGCATGGGTTCGCGTTATCTGTTATTTGGTGGCTTTGATGGAAAATCAACATTTGATGATCTATGGTGGTTGGTTCCCGAAGGTACGAATATGTCTTCTTATTGTTCTCATCTAATCATTTGCTTGTTGTCTCACCAACCACTTTTGAAGATGAACTGGGTTACGTTGTGAACAATCTCCTAAGTAACTTTGTTGCCCTTGAGCTTAAATTGAGTGCCTTAGGTCATAACCTCAAATCTTGCAAACCATAAAACTTTCCTTAAACTTGGAATATTGCCAAACTTTCTAAAAAAAAAGAAATTTGTAGTTGGTCTTCAATCTATTTTATACCCTTTTTTTTCCTGCTGGAACGCTTACAAAATGTTCAATGTGATGGTGAAAAGTCTAAGGTTAGATTTTGATATTACAATTTAACAATTCCAATTTATATCACAATTTGGAGGGTAATTTTGGTCATGATGTGCAGGCTCCAAAATCATCATAAGGCTTAGAAGTGGGTTTATTGAAGAAGAGAAAATGCTAGATGCATGTATTATTAGCTAAGAAAAATATTTCATGATCCTGCTATATATTTGTCCAAGCAGAAGGGAACCTTGTTTATTTCTTTAATGCCCCATGAAGTTTGAATTAGAACCTAATTCTAACATGTTCAAATTGTCACGTTTTGCTTGTTCTGTAGAGGACTCTATTGCAAAGAGATTACTTTCAACTTCACCAACCAATCTTCCTCAAAATAAGGATGTGGTGATGGAAAATAACAATGTCCAATCTGAAGGCAAGGTATAGCAAATGCCTCTAATTACATCCAACTTTCTATATGGAGTTATCAAGTAGTAAACTGCCTTTCATAAACCTTTTGTTGCCTTTAATCATGTCTGCTAGAATCATGTTGAACTTGGTTGATTGTTATTCAAACTTTTTTGCTAAAAGTCGGGAATGCATGCATATTTTGACTTGTTCCAAAAATTACTTGCTTACTGCTAGATTTTAACTTCCTCCTAATTTTAACAGGAGAGCCAAATGGAAGAATCTGTTGTTTCAGAGTTACAAAAAAGATTAGGAATATCAGTTTCTCTCCTTGATAATGGTGTTCCAATTGTGGATGAGTTGGAAGACGGAGAATTTGTTCAACTAGCATCGAGTCTGGTTGGAGAAAGAGTTTTTAGTAATCAACAGGTTTCAGATATTCAGGTTGGGTACTTTTATGATGCTGATACTAGGCACTTTGAGTTTTAAATGATAAGTGCTAACTGTGGTGTGAAAAAGTACAAAACTAACAAAAACACAACTCAGGCACTTCGTGACCACTGGAGGAAATCTACACCAAGACATATACCACTTAAAGAGCTTGGACCCTTGCTTCGGGACTACCAACGGTTGATTACTCGTCGTCTTCAGTAAGAACAATAAGCTGAACTTTTTGAGAATTATGTGGTTGTTTTTAAAGATGTTACCAGCTTAACTAATGGCTAGCTCAAAGTCCTCGAATTATCTTTGGCTGTGCATACAAGATGCTCAATTTTTTTTTGATACACAAATTTTCAGTCTTGCGTTTTATGTATATAGTTGTGGTACACACAGTAATCACATCATATCCTATTCTAGCTCGTGGTACTCACATTGCATGGGTTGTTGAGTTGAGTCCATGACCTATGTTCTGGTACAGTACAACGATTATAGAAATTGTATCACAGCTCGGGAAGTGTTATTAGAAATTTTGCCTGCTCACTTCATTTTTACTTAGTTTATCTAATAGATTTTTCCTAAATTGAAATAGCAATTTGATGATATACTTCTAATAAATATTTACGATGCATGCTGTACATGAAATTAGAATAGGATAAAAAGGGGTTATTTTAGAAAGCCAAGTACAGTGGGCTGGAGAATAGTCAAAATGATGCTGCTAGGAGTCCTCCAATGGTAGGAGCAAGATGATAGTGTGAAGCTGTGTACAAAAAGGAGACTCCAATGGTAGGAGTACGATGATACTCTGGACCAGATTGGTTTTGTTGCTTAAATTTGAAATTGGTGTTGTTTTCTGAAACAGATGTTCAAGACATTCAATTAATGAAATTTGATTAATTGGGGTATCATTATATGTAATTTTTTTTATTTATACATTGTTGCAGGATCTATCTAAATAATTAATCGTTTGTTTTGGATTTATCTGTGTTCTTAGCCATTGTTTGTGAATTTTTTATGTCTAAACTTTGCTCATTAGTGTTTTTGTTCCTTTTTCTCTTGTGCGGAATTTGCTTTGTGGCTATAATAGGGCGAATAGTGGATCTCATGTGCAGTTCATCGAGTCTAGTTTTCCTGGAAAAGTGGCTTATGGTTTTTATCATATCAGAAATGTTAAGCAGGTATTAATTATGTTTAGTTATGCAATGCAATCAAATTAATCATTATCTTTACCACATGCTTATATTTTTCTCTTTCATTACTTGTCATTCTAGTTTCTGTTTATATATACTTTCCTTTATTTCCCCTCTTCTCATAGGTTGTTAATTTCGTGATGATTTTCAGTTGCGTATGGATGACATCCCAAAGCTGCTGGCAGAGTACAAACAACTACTGCCAAATTAAGTGGAGGTGAAAAAACTAAAACAAAAAAAAGCGCTGTCCTCTAAAAGATTTATTGTGACCAATCTCCATTTTCATTGAAGTTAAGGTATTGTGCTCTCATGTTTCTCCGGCACAAACCTCCACTTGTGAACTCATTGCTAGACTGATTTAAAGATCTTGTACATGTCTACCATAGACTTGTTGAAAGATGCCAATATTACTGTCTTTCTGACATCCTTGGAATCCACTGCAGTTTTAGATGATATATTATGCTTGATAGACCTTTTTAAGGTATACAAGTATATATATGTATATATGAAATGAATGAACTTCTTAGTACCACTCTCTGGAAATTCCAGATTATTTATTGAAACTTCTTTGCATATGTTGTCTCCTAAATCGACTGCGTAAACTCTCTTATAAGCTATCTTGAGGTCTGTGTACTGGTTATGATGAATTTCTGCTGGTCGCCTCACCCTTCCATAAAGTTTGACAAACATAAAGTGTATGCTTGCTTGACAGTATTTTGCCTGGAAATCATATTAATTGCATAATGTTTAAACTGTAGATAATTATAATAATAGGTTCTCAAAATTCCAAAAATTGTTACCAGCTTTGCTATTGGTGTGAAGAACAAAAAATGTACGATTCCTTTGGAAAAATTGCATTGCTGTTTTACCATAGAACTTTGAATTTCTCTTATCTGGATTGATACAATGAAACAAGACATCTGCCAAGAATGCAGATTCCTCTGTAGTCTTTAATCTCCATACATCCAAAAAATTTATTTCCAAATGTACTAATTGAATATATTAGACAACGGAATCTACTGATCAGCATTAGGAAATTTCAGTGTGTGGGTTCTATGTTCTTGCTCAGCTCCTCTAGCTTCTGCATCCTCAATCTCTCGCTCTCGGTCAGCATCTGGTAAGCAGATTACAAATTGGAAGAATTACCAAGTGCAGAATGGGATGTAACAATAAATTTGTAGAGCAAATGAGACTTGGTACTTACCTCCATCAGTGTGGTTACAAGTTGAGCCTTCTCTTTGTTCTTTTCATTGAAGCTTTCCAGCGCTTCTTTATATTCTTTTTCCTGTTGTCGATGAGATGTGAATAGATGCATGCTCTAATGTTAGTGCAGTAACTAGGTGAAAGTATAATCAAGCATAATTAGCAATTGTTAAGCACCTTCTTCTGGTAGCTCAGTCCCAGTGGCTTCAGCTCTCGGTTAACCATGTCGATTTTCTTCCTTACATTTGCAAGTTCCTTCCTCATGGGATCTCCCATCACTTCGAGCTCCTACTAGATTGTTAATGTATGATATAATTTCATTATGAAGTAATTTATGTGGCCAACTAAGAAGAATAGGTCCTATAGGCAAGTCATTTGGGTTCAAATTACAAGCGAACCATGTTACCAAGCCCTCCTAATCAAGAACAAAACAAAAAATATCCAACAAGGTTGAAATAAATTCAAAATAGGATCCTTATATTTTGTGTCCACAATGTGTTATGTCTAACATCACATCGTTTTAGGCTTCCTATTTTATTTTTTAGTGGACATCCATAGTGGGTAGGGTACCCTTCTAACCTCCAAGTCTTGAGGTTGCATATTCAATCAATTAAATGTCCCGCTTAGTAACAAGCTCACACTACAACACTCGACATTTTGCCCTTAATTACCAAAGTAATGTGTTTTGGACACATGCTTGATCCTATTTCAATAGCTTGAGAGTCTAACATAAATTGATAAGCAAATTGTGAAAAGGAAAAATATTCCAACAAAAGTTTGTTGAACTTACTTCCCAAATCTGTGCCAAACGCCTAGTTTCTTCCTCAGCACGACCCAATTGAAGTTCAACTTTCTCCTTAACTTCCATCTTCTTCCTCTCAATCTCTTCCTCTCTAGCTTCCCATGCTGATATTGCCAATCTTGAAACTTCCTCATCCTCGTTCTCCTCTGTTGATAGCCTCCCACTACTGGAAATGCTCCCAAGGCTCTTCATCTTCTGCATTTGTCACAGCTCCAAATTCAATTTGGCCTCTATCTGCATCCACAAAACCCACCTCCTATAAGTATCTTCTTATTAATTCTATATACTATCTCTATTGCTTTTGCTTCAAACTTCTCTCTCCCCTTTCCTTTTCTGGTAGGTCTTCTCTCCTCTTCTCTTGTTTTCTTTTGAGTACGTCTGTCAGAAAGGAGGAGAAGACAAATTCTAAGCGATCAACAGAAGACAACATGGCCTAATTGACTTTTGTGGGTGCATTTTGATATCGGTCTTTATCCCATCATTATCTAAACCTCTACAATTAGAGCAATTAGAGCATCTCCTATTGCAATCTCATATTTTGTAAAGAAAAATTTTGTGGGATGTTCTTGTCACGTGATAGTTATGAGTCGTGGAACAGTCCAATTAAAATGACATGTATTTGAAAAATAAAAGTCAGTCGTCAAATTTAGGTACTTATTATCTTCTCCATTTTTCAAGCTTGGAGATAATATTTCTTTCAATTTTATCCAAAAGTAGTTGAAATGTCAAATTTCGACAGAGACACTCTTCCTCAAATGTAGGTAACTGACTACGCAATGAAAGTATGGCAACCATGGTTCAACATTGCTTGAAGCAAGAGGAACTGTGTCGAGCAACAATACCATACATATAAATAATGCTTGGGTAATATAAGCTCATTTGCTTTCCTTTTCATTTTTATTGTCTGTCAATTCATTATAAAGGAAAACCAGCTACAAAAGTCCACTTTTCAGGTCATTACGTCAGAATCAAATCACTTGCAACAAATACTTAATTGCACAAATAATTCATTCCATAACAACATAAGAAAACATAGACATTAAAAATAAAAATAAAACCATAATTTGCAAATGTAATGCCCCCAAGTTTGCGAGAAGACACAGCAACATAATTAGCCTTACCCAGCCATTCAGCTACCGCATGTGAGAGAACTCTGTAAGCAAGTAATTCTAGAATCTAACATTTCCACTACAGTTGACAACATAACATTGCACACATTTGCCAATCAATCATAACAATTTCTTAACAATTCTGAATTTTCGGAGGAACCAAACAACATATTAGATTCATTTCTAGCAAAATCCGCCTTTGGTAGGAAGACGAAAATGAGATAATGTCATTTTCATTGAAGTGAAATGACCATATCAGAAGCAAACCTATCCTTTACATTCCTCGAGGGAAAATTGTTTCTCACAGGATATGTATCGTCAATTACAAGCAACTCAGAAAATGTTACTACTGTATATCTTTAAGCGTAAATGGCAAATGAAAGAAACCAAGGGCAGACTGTAATTGATGTTAACGTCTGCTGAAAGCCAAATCAACATAATTGGAACTATGTCTGAGGAATGAGGGGGGAAAAATCACAAGAGCAACACACATTTCTCATTCAAGCAAAGTTCACAGGATGCTACACTATAGTATAAACAAAACACTCTCTGCCAGGAAGTGAAGATAGGAGGAATCAGGGTACAAAGGCAATATCTTTGAAGTACTCGTGCTCAAGAGCAGTCCTGGCCGTAATCCTTTTGCTGGGATCCAAGCAGAGCATTTTCTGGAAGATAAAAAGGCAAATACTTAAATGATAGAAAACCAAACTGCAGTAAATGCTTTCATGTCGTGTTTAACAATTATTTTCTGCTCATCTATCAAGCCCACTTAAATTTGCTACATGTCATGTGGACTGGCAACAGAGAGAGCATCAAGAATGAACGTATTAAAATTTGCAATCACCAAACCCACTGAACTCCTCAAGTTGTTGCTGAAATAAATTCATAAAAGGAAACTAAGGAAAAAAAATGGACAACATGAATCACCAAAAGGACTTGCTTCCAGGGAATCTAAGTGCAGGAAACTTCTTTTTTTATTTTCCAAATTTGATTATCGAATTTTACAAATGAAAATTAAGGTACTTCTCTTTTGGCAATAGGGGAAACTACAGTACTCCCCATATACCATACTAACATCTTTGAGGGACTGGCTAGGAACTCATGTAAGACGCACAATTAAATCACAGTGTAGATGTACACATATGAACAATTTTTTCCCATTGGAGTGCATAAATTGAATATGAACTTACAGAGAGAAGATCAACACCAGCTGATTCAAGATTGGGAACTGCAGTTGCCAAGTCCTGCAAAGTCAAAGATGCTTCTCTCAATATCATGAGTAACACATAGGTTGACAATTTTATGATGGGACTAGATAGCAACACACAGAGTTCAATTACCTTAGCAAGCCACTTAGGAAAGGAAGACTTAAAATCAGGCAAAGAATTCACTCCAGGCCATGTATCCTCAGTTGGAGTACCCATGATTCTTCATATGAAAAGCAACAGTGTGAGTACGACAGGATACATTGAGGATGATGGGATGCATAACATGGTCTACAGCCATCTGGCTGCATGTCTTCCACGAAAAGGAAAAAAGAAGGAAAGAAAAGCATAGATTTGGTTGGGAATCTTTCACCTAAATATCTTGAACAATTCATCAATCTCAGAGTCCCCAGGAAATAAAGGTCGTTGGTTTACCATCTCAGCAAATATACAACCCACGGACCACACATCTACTGGAGTAGAGTAATGGCGGGAACCAAGCAATATCTCCGGCGCTCTATACCAGAGAGTCACCACCTACGCAGAACCGCCAACGGTTAAATCACTTTATTGTTTTTTGTTTTTTGTTTTTTTTTGGTTAAGACTTTATTGTTAATATTAAAACACAAACACAGGCACACTAAATAGTGCTCAAATGTTAACATATCAAACTACCTAAATATTGCTTTCAGAAATATTAATTTTTAATTTCAATACATGTGATTTTTCTTGGAGCAAAGCAGTTCAATTTTGCATCATATCGCAACAGACACTAAATTGTGCTCAAGTGGTACTAATTGCCACATTTTTTCTTTGCTTTCTATTGCTATTAATTAAAGTGTGAGAGGAAAGAAAACTGATCTGAATTATTGCAACAGCTAAATGTCATGAACTGAATCACTCATACCTCATGAGTAAATGTCCTAACAGGAATACCAAATGCTCTAGCCAGTCCAAAATCTGCAAGCTTTAGTGAATTGGTACGACGATCTATCAGCAGATTCTGGGGTTTCAGATCTCGATGAAGAACTCTATGTGAATGACAATAAGCAATGCCTCTGAGAATTTGATAAAGGAACATCTGCAGAAACGGGACATGGCCAAATGACATTTCATTGTAAGATTTTTATTGCAGTAGTCTATTGTCAAAATCAGGATGGATTACATAACAATATAACAATTTCAAGCATGATATACGGTAACCTCTATAGAAACTAGAAGTAAACATCGTAAGCATCACACAACATTGGGCCATAAAGCATTTGAAATCTGCTTTACAAACTAAGAGAAGAAGTACAAAAATAAATAAATGACAAATGTAAAAGCAGAAAGCTAAATAAAAAGCCTACAAATGATAGCCTCTTATACTTATTCACGAAAGCTAAATTTCTTAAATAAAATTAAAATTAAAAATTAACACCCATATTGATGCAGGAGCATCTACGAAGCTCTCTAAGATTACTTAGGCCCGTCAGTCGATTGGGCTAGGGTTCTATTTACTTTAAATTATTAGTTACTTCTTTAGTTTTCCTATTCTTACTAGGATTTGGTTTAATTTCCTGTTTAGGTTTTTACTTTCCTATGTCAATTAGGTTTTCTGTATTCTAGTATAAATAGGCCAGTTAGAGACTCTTGTATGGAGTTTTTGTTGATGAATATAATTTCAGACTTTAGTCTATACAGTTTCTGTTGGGATTTTGCCCTAGAACTCAATTATCTTTGTTCCAACTTCAATTCTATTGCTTTATCCTTCTATCCTCTGTATTTTGGGTATGTTTGGGTCACTGGACAGCAGCTTATAGCCGCTGCCCTGCATCACACATGCATCTCCATTCTAGCCTCCCTAACCTTGCCAAAATTTACAAACCATGACAGTCAAGGAATGGACTGCACCTGAGATGAAATACTATAATTTGCTGATCAAATAACTACTAAATGTACCAACTAGGTCAATTAAAGGTTTGTAAAGACAAGAAAGCAATCACTCACTTTTATTTGGCGAGGATCCTTTGCAAACTCAGGAGTAGAATCCATATGCTTCTTCAGATCCAAGTCCAGGTACTCAAAAACCAGATACAAGCGCTTCTCACTGTGCACTACATCCTGCAGCCTGTTAAGCAAATACCCATTAGAAGAATTTGTTAAATATATCTTCTTCCCTGATAGATAATAAAAGTGTAAGCACCAAATATGAATATCTTGCAACGTAAACAAGCCATAAGGAAATATGGAAGATGCCTAAGAAAGCAGATTAAAAAGTTTTCATTATATTAAATTTTGTCTTCTGTTTAAAATACATTCTAGAAGCACTGAATTTAGGACACACCCAATGACTGTGTTTAAACATCTCTATGAGGATCCCTGTTCCACTAATTTATTTTTGGGGTGCTCATGCTTAGACACCAAAAGAAACGCTACTTTCCTAGTCAAGCTCAGACAAGCCAGGCAAAGCAACATGCTCAGAGTGAAGTAAATAAACAGTGATTAACTAGCTCAGTCATGTTATATTTTGGATTCTTTGATACGTTAAATTTCCATTTAAAGGGGAATGAATATAGGAAGAAGAACATGCTACAACTCGAAGCTACAATGCAGTCCAAAAAGAAATATTAACTCAAGAGAAAAGTCTGAAATTCATAGGTCTACTTTTCCTCAACAACAGGTAATACCTTCAGCATTTTTATGATTCACATAAACTGAATGCCCAAACATGAAGTTGAAGCTGTCAATACATGAATAATTTTCTCATAAAACCCCTTAATTGAAGAAATTAGTCACAATGAATTCAATATACCTGACAATGTTGCCATGCTGCATTTCTTTCAAGAGTGAAATTTCGCGTATGGCAGTGCTTGGCACCCCCTCATCTTCCTGCTCTAAACGAATCTTCTTCAAAGCTATAGTCTCATTAGTGACACGATCACGAGCCTTGTAAACCACGCCATACGTTCCTTCACCAATCTTCTCAACTTTCTCGTACTGCACAACGACAAACATCAGAGTCATAGAAAATAAACAAAAACAAAGTAAAATCAAAGACCCAAATTCACAAAAATGGCACGTCCATCACTAACCTGGTCCATCCGGTCTTTCTGCTCAAACCCAGGCCTTCAAAGCCTATAGGAAACGTAGAAAATACCCTTATTAATTGTAAACATAGTTGCCTAATTCGCTCACCCCCTACGAATTTCGATCTGGATCGAGCGTACCCAACCGCGGTACGGTATCGATCTGGAACGAAAGATTTAACGACTCAGTTCCAGAGGAGAGAACAGTACCTGGTAGACGACGTCGCTGCTACACAACAGTACCTGACCGCCGACAGCAGACGAGCAATCGAGGGCACATGAGGGAGAGTGCTACAGCTGATGAGCCCACGTTTGATCCTTGCTCTCTTGGCATACAAGGGGAAGGAAGATGTTGGGTTCGTAGAGGATTTTTTTGGACGAATGGTTTCCAAGAAGACAGCCCAGCCCACGCAAAAAGGCCCCTGGTCTCTCAAAATCAGCTACAGCGGTGACATCCAGCCCGGGCAAGCCCATGGCAATATAGGCGCTGACGTCAGCGAAGGAAAAAAAATTTTAAAATCGAAAACAATTCTGAAAAATTACCAAAAAATTCAAAAAAATAAATTTATACATACCTAGTGTGGGGCCTTTTCGTTCCGGCAGCTACAATGGCCCTAGGCTACTGTAAAGAGTCAAGTGTGTGAAAATTGTCCATGAGTCTGAGTTCAAGAATTAGGTCCCGAGAATGCTTCAAAAAGGTAGCTAAACTTTAATAAGCACCTTGGTTACCTTCACCAGCAAAACTAACAGTCGCTTACAGGTAGATTCTTAGCTTGGCATGAGAAGCTTGTGACATGGAAGCAAAACCATCATGAATTTAGCATAAACAGAGAGATGATTGTGAATTCTTATGAAAAAATAGGGGTTTTAAGACAAGGGGGAATGGATTCTAAGAGGGTTTGTTGAAGAGAGAGATGGATAGGGGGATAATAGGTGTGTTGAGTAGTTTCCGGCAGCTTGATGAAAAGTCTGTCAAGCTCTGGAATGATTTAACATAAGAGAAAATGGGAGAAAATAGAGGAATATGGCACGAAATTGCAGATGTTTCATATATGAGAAATGAAGATTGCTCCCTGAATATGTGTTGTAGCTAGTGGTGAAGTATTAGGTGTGTTGGGTAATTTTCCAGCAGCTTGACAAAGGCTTTGTCAAGCTCTGTAATAACTTACCATAAGAGAAAATAGGAGGAGATGGAGGAATGGGGCTCCAAATTGCAAAGTTTCAGAGATGAGAGATGAAGCTTGCTCTCTAGATGTAGGTTGAGATGATGGGTAGGAAATGCCTCTTTTTATAGGCGCTGGAAGCTCCTTTTTCCCAAGAAACCCTAATGGTTTCTATCCAATTCGGCCAAGTCTTTCCTTTCCTTTCTCTTCTCTTCCTTTGACTCATCTTAGTTGGTGAAATTCTATCTGCCCAATCGCACAAAAACAGGGTTTGGGGAGCTCTAGGCTTTTCCCACAGCTGTTTCAGTGGGGTACTCCCATTTTCAGCCATCTTTCTTCCTTTTTTTTCCCCTCTTCTATGGCTAGATCTGATGGGGAGAAAGAAATGGGTATGCACACTGGTTTGAAGGGTGTTTTGCTCAAGTATCCCTTGGTTTTTCTAATGGCTTGCGTTGGGTTTGTCTTTGACCATGTGCTGGAGTCTCCCAGCAGCCTAAGTGTACAAACATCTCTTGGTTTTCTATCGTGGTTTTATTTCAAACCATGTGATGGAGATTTTTAGATATTTTCTAAGCCACTTGGGTCATTTGGGCCTTCCTAAGGTGATGGGTTACTGTATTAAGGGAATGGGCCAGCTTCATCACATGTTGGGCTATTTTCTCTCTTTCTTTTATGCTCACCTACATATTTGGGCTCAAGAAATGGGCTTGAGTCTTGAGGCTCCCAAGTAACCCAAGACTTCCATTTCTCAGCCCATCAATGAGCCTCATGAAAACTTGTAACCATCCATACAACAATCGGCTCAGCAAGCCCCAGGCATTCGCGTGGCTTGGGTCCACTTAAGCTTATAGTGTGGCGTGTTGCTTATTTGCTTGGCTTGGCACATGTGCAAGCATATATGATGAACTCTTGCATACCCAAATTGGGTTTCTTCCCAAGTTAGATGTCGTACTGGGCCGGGAATTTATTCGGGCCCAACTATGGTTTTTTTGAGCCTCAACACCTACAGATTTTTATTTATTAATCTCATACATATAAATAAAATTAATCTCTTGTGAATAGTAATTGCCCTTGAGTTGTCATGGCAATGGGTGGAAAAGCACACAAAAATTTGCTAAGGCATATACTATTCAAGTGAATAGTAACCGTCCTTACTTACTCTTGTCTTTTGCCATGGCAAATGGATGGAAGTGCTCTAAGGGGGAACGTACTAGAGATTGGGTGGGTGGGGGTGTCAATATAATAAAAGTAATGCATCTGGTTTCAAGAGGATTCAGTCCCATTCTCCTAGACCCTATGGTTCAAGAAAGTTGTAATTACCTACCCTTGGATCTAATTTAAGGGTTGAGAAAAAAACTGGTTTAAATATCAATTTGTCATCTTTAATTTTACTTTTACTGCAGTAAAATACTATTTTGGTTATTAAAACTCTTTTTTTTTAAGAAAAGAAAAGAAAAGTTTAATATCAGAGATGAAAAACAAGAACAAAAAACTCATCAACATCTAAGACCATCGTCTTCGATGCCAGTCATTTTTCTCCTTCACGCCTAGTGAATAAGAAAACATGAACCTTTCATGAAAATACAATATAGTTATGGAAACCCAAGTCTGTGTTCATGGACTGAAAAATAAAAAATAAAAAAACCAAACATTGTTTGTAAAAAATTGAAGTTTTCCCAAATTGGGTTCATGAATCATTCAAATCTAACATTTATAAACAGAAAATTAAAGTTTTGTGCAAATTTTCACATGAGGAATATTCGCGGGTTGATTCTTCACCCTCTTACCTTTCTTCTCTCTCTTCCTCCTCAATCCTTGCTAAATAGACTAGAGTAAATAGACCACATCTGGGGGGTTTTGGCCAAAGTTCCTCCGATGACAAAGTCAATTAGATGATCTTAAGAAAGATACAAAAATAGCAGAGAAGGTCGGAGTTTTCTCTAAGGTACGAGAGAACTAGGTAGCCAAAGCCATATGTGTGGCCGGAGCTGAGAGAGAGAGACAATGAGGGGGCAGCAAGAGACAGAGAGAGTTTATAGTGATTTTGGAATTACCTCATGTATTTGGTGCAGCCATGTATTTACAGTGCTCTTGCTTTCTAGGGTTTTTCAGAGAATTAGTCTCTCCCTTAAATGGAGAGATTGAATCAGTAAGAGATTTAATGAATATCAAATCTCTAATTTATGGTATCATCCCTATTTTAAGTCTAAACAATTGACCAATTAAAATAAAGCACAATTGACCAATTAAAATGAAGCACAATTGTTGACCTAAGGAATATTCCCATTGTCCATGTCGCGCCTCATGATTGGTTGCCGAAATATTAGTTCCCACAATGCTCACCTGCTTGCTCCGGAAGAGCCAATTCACGGCAACAAGCCACAGAAAATCCCTCGAATATGCAGTTCACTAATACGCTGTGTAGGCAAGACAACCAAGGAAATCAAACCCCGAGAGTTAATGAGGAAGTTGATCAACGACACCCGCATCATGGGAGACACTGACGTGAGTCGCAAGCCTTGCGAGTAGAAGATGTCAAGAGGCTCGTGAATGACTGACTTCGAGACTTGAAAGTTAGAGGAGACTTGGACGATTCCTTACTCAAGAAGGTAGACCAAGTAAACTACTCTCCTTTCACCAATGAGATCGAGTAGGTGGCCCCGCCAAGGCGATTCACGACGCTATGTTTCACGACATTCAAAGGGGATTCTAATCCCGATAGCCATATGAAGCATTTCAAAAGTGTCATGATTTTCTATAAGTCCGAAGTTGAGCTAATGTGCAAGGTGTTTGTAATGACCTTGTGAGGAGCAGCTTAAAACTGATTCCATACCCTACCCTATGGGTCGATCAACAACTTCGGAGAGCGAGGGCTCATTTTCACAAATGAGTACACCTCCTACTGGATGATCAAAAAGTAGCCTAATCACATATTCAACCTGACTAAGAAGCATGGTAAGTCTCTCTGAGACTACATTAAGATGTCCAAGGCAAAAAAAACTAACATTGTAGGATGCGATGATCGGATCACATTCTATGCATTCAAGAAGGGCTTGCTAATCGAGCACGACCTATACCGTGAGCTGACCATAGCCTCAACCAGACTCTGGTAAAGGTCTTCGTTATCACGGAAAGCCATGTGCTCTAGGATGACGATCGAATCGCTGCCAAAACGTCTGCCCAAAAAATAGACGAGCCAAAGGTCAAAAGGGTGATAGAGCCAACAATAAGAACTAAGGGGAAAGGCGCAAGTCGCAACCCCAAATAAACACCCCAACAGATGAGAGCTACACTAAGTTCTCTATCCCGATACATCAAATCTTAGCCCAAGTGAAAAACAAGCCCTACCTGAAGAGACCACCACCCTTGAAAAGAGGCCTAACTAAGAGGAATAACAGCAGGTACTGTGCCTTCCATGGGACACACATGCACTATATAAAGGATTGCTTTGCTTTAAAAAAAAACACCTCAATGAGCTAGTCGAAGAAGGCCATTTCTCAGAGTCCGTGGCAAAGAATGCTATCCAGCAGATCGAGAATCGCGATGCAGCCAAGGAACCTCCCCATAATCTCATAAGGATTGACATAATCTTGGCCAACTCCAAGGAGTTTGGGCTGACCAGCAAGGAAAATAAGAGGAAGATTAAGCAGGTAATTATGATATCCCAAGTTTTAACCAGCTACCCCGCAATACAAGATGATCTCGTAATTGGCTTCCAGAAGAATAACCTGATCGGGGCTTGATATTCTGCACAATGACACCCTCGTCATGAACATCCAGATTATGCAAGCCGTGATCGACTGACTTCATGTGTACGAGGGCAGTGCAACCAATATCTTGCAAATTTCAGTTGTCTAGCAAATGGGCATGGAGACCAAGTTAGCCAGGTCATTGACCGGCTTCAACGAGGTGACCACGGTCACCGTGGGAACAATAGAGCTTGATGTCTATTCATCACCGATTATCAGCTCATAGACATTCATGAGCATATACGAAGTCTCCCCTACGATGGCATCATAGGCAGGTCATGGATTGACATGATCAGTGCCATCATTTTTACCACGTACTAGAAGATCTGCTGCACAATCTTTGAGGGCGGTGTCGGGCAGATCAATAGCGACCAAGCAATGGCGAGAAGAAGCTCAGCCCAAAGGCTGAAGAAGGGCAGGCAGACTCAATTCATCCGTGTAAATCAAGCAGATTAGAAAGGAGGATAACAAGCAATGAAGGAAGCAAACCTCGTTCCTAATAGTTTAGCATACAAGAAGGAAAAAGGGTTAGCTATTCCCCAATAGCAATCAAAATGCCAGGACCAAGACAAGGGAATCCATCTAAAGGCCTCTCCTAAACAATGATGAAGGCCCGAGTAGGACGTTGAGCTAGTATCCCTTGATCCTGACAAGGTAGAGAGAAAAGCGCGGATTGGCTCGAGCCTAAGCCCATAGGAGACGCAACTTTACTTCCGAGCTCTTTTTTATCATTTTGTATCCCTGCCATAACTACTTGGTCATGGTAACTGAGCTCTTGTCCCCCCACAACTACTTGGCCACAACTACTTACTCATATATCTCTAAAAAATTTATGTAGTCCAGAAGACATCAATCCAAATAATTAACAGACCCCTTGTCCCCCCACATAAAACCACCACTCATTGAGGTTTAGGGGCTTTATCATTCTACCTCTATGGTGTAGTTCAAAGGTGACTATTCCTTTATCATCTGCACAACAAAACATAAAAAAACACACTTTAACCACTGCCTAGTCATATGTACAAGTTAAAACGGACAACACTGTTTAAATGATAATTTTCATTAAATAAGAAAAGATGGCTGCACACATGGAAATTCCTATCAAATAAGATAACACCAATATTCCAGTTATAAGCACGTGTTCAAATGGAAATATAGTTCTTTGCCTACAAGATATTTCAGTTAAAGTGTTTGTGTCAAACACTAAAGCCAAGGAGGGATTATCCATTTAATCTCAAACTCCTCGAAATTAAGGGCCTATAAAAGAACCTTGAAAAGAACAGCCACAGGGAGAAGAAAAGAAGAAAAAGAGGGGAGAAAGGAGAACAGCCACAGGAAGGAAAAATTAGCAAGCACACTTCAGAAACGGAAGAGCCATTTCAAGGTAAAAAAATTAGTTTCATCGCACAATTTTCTGGTTTTTTGCTCAAGACTTCAGGTTTCTTTCAACCCAAGGGTTCCTGGCTATGATGATTTCTATCATCATAAAAAGGGCCAGGAATCTCTCAAAGGGACAGCTCTGCTCAAGTACTTCCGAGGATACGATCCGCACCCAGTTTTGTTTGATTAATCCACAAAGATTCTTGATGATTGAAATCATCATAAACAAAGTTAAGAATCTCTCCAAAGCTTGGCCCCGCTCAAATAATTCCAGCAGTTTGTTTGATCAATCCACAGAGATTCTTTGCTATGATGATTGAAATCATCATAAACAAGGTTAAGAATCTCTCCAAGGCTTGGCTCCACTCAAATAATTCTAGCAATTTGTTTGATTAATCCACAGAGATTCTTGGCTATGATGATTTCAATCATCATAAACAAGGTTGAGAATCTCTCCAAGGCTTGGCTTCGCTCAAATAACTCCAGCAGTGTTTTCAAATATCCAGTCCACAACCAACATGGGAAGATTGCCTTCCATGATGATTTCAATCATCATATTTTATGGCATAGTCTATTCCAATAGGCAACATCGAATAAGGGCTTCCAGGAGCAAAGAATCCCTCAAATCATGGATGTAGAGATGAACCCACCATGGGATCAAAATCAAAAGAACGAAAGCTTGTAATTACAAGTCTCTGTGTAAAATCTCTGTATGAATCATCCAAAACCAAAAGGGCCTCATGGCAATTGAATTGCCTCCTCATGAGTGTTTGTTGCCCGCAAGCCTACAAAAAAGAAGAGCCAGCGGAGGAAGAGATGGTGGAGCAGAAGGAAAAGTGGCAGGTCTTGTTGTTGTGTTTTGTTTGCAGAGACGAAACAAAGAGGAGATAAAAAAATAAAAGGGGGGCTGTTCGCACAGCCATCCTCTTTTGATATGCTTTGACTAAAAAAGGGAGTTAAGAAGTAAAAGGAATATGGTGGCTGGTTATGTTTGTGCAAGAAGACAAAACAAGGGACAACACAAAAAAAGAGTAATGAAATAAAAAAAAAGAGGGGCTGTGTCGCACAGCCCCTCCTCCCTCTCTTGAATGGTTCTTTGGTTTATTTTGACTGGAAATTGAGTAAAAGAAAAGGAAATGAGCAATGGTAAAAGTACAGCAATAGCAAACAAAAAAAGGAGTTGGCGAAGCAAGTACCACAAGTTTTCTCTTTGGTTTCTGAAGCAAAAGGACAAATGGTTTTCTCCACCAAATAAAGAAATCTCCAAAGCCTTCAAGCTGGCAGCACAGTCTCTACATACAAAAGAGAAGACAAGAGGTTAGAAGCATGGAAACAGACAAAAGAAAAAAAGCAAAGGAAAAAAGAGTTCATAGGGTGGGTTACCACGTGAAAGGCAAGAGGATTTCTTTTTCCCTTTGTCTTCGGTTATTGACCTTGGGAAAGTTACAGCACACAAGGGACAATAAGAGAATTTGTCTCTTTTGGTTCCAAGTCACTTGCGAGACTGAAGCCCAGAAGCATCCAATTGATTGGAGGGTCTTCTATTGCTACTGCTATTGCTGTCCATGCAAAAATCCTAGTTAGTTCAATCAATAAAAAAATAAAAAATAGAAGAACTAAAGAATGGCATGTGGGTTACCACGCGAAATCCTCTTCTCTTTGATGGTGCAACAGGTGGCTTTGACCAGGGCTATGTGCTGGTCTGGAGATGCAAACAAAGAATGATATTAAGACTTTCGTTTTGTTGTTGTTTGCTAGTGCACATATGTTTTCTTTTTTATAAGAAAAACACATATGTCCCAATCCTATGTGGACAAGAAGTTTACTTTACTAGATGATCCAGCAGTTCCAAATCAACAAGGAGCTTAATCCATACTTCACTTGGAGAAGGATTTTTATCCTTTGGGTGTCTTAATCAAATTGAAAGACACTTGTTAATGGCACCAATACGTGATGGGTCTAGCTGGAGCAAAGCAAGGCCTTTGGTTTACTACGTTTTGCTGAATGTAAATAGAAGAAGAAAAAAAAAGAATAAAAGCCTGTGGAGGTGAACCCACCTCGTGAAAATAAGAAGAAAGTGGTTTTATTCCCTTTTGTTCCAACTCCACCTGCACAAAAATCAGACTCAAGATAAAAGCAAGCAAACAAAATAGCCAAAGGTCACAAAGGACCTCAGTTTGCAAGTTGAAAGACCATGTGGGTTGTTGCTTTGGGTTTAGAAAACATGATCAATAAAGCTAAAGACTTGTGAAGGTTCAGCCTATTACCAAATCGTGACAGTAATAAGCCCAATACGAAATTGCAAGATTTGATGGCCCAAGACATAATGGTCTCATACCCACGAGGCTCGTCTCACATCTCAAGACCAGTCAGTCTCAAGCCGACATTCCAAGACTCGATGGTCTCAAATACAATGGGCTTGGTCATTAAAAAATTCCAATTGGTGAACAGTTGGTGCAAAGTCTCAAGTCCGCAAATTATGGAATAATGTGCTTAAATTCTAAAATGTCATTAATTCCTAAATCAACAAATTGAAGCCCAAGTGGTACAAAACCACATCAGAGGCCCAAGTGGTACAAAACCACATCAAAGGCCTATGTGGTACAAAACCACGCAATTTAAATCAAATTTCCCTCCGCAATGAGTCATTTACTCATTGTGATTCTGGAACTACATCAGTTTGATCTAGTCAAGGGTACGTAGATGCAACTGCAACCAAATTTAAATCTCTGGTTTATCTTAACCAAATTTTGACAAAACACTTTCCCAAATGAAATTGTCAATTTTTAGGGAAAAATTAATGGGATAATTAAAATTACTCATTATTTTTCTTGGACATTGACAACAACGAAAGTGGAACAAAACCATCCAATTTTTCAGGGGTCATCTACCCATGAAAATTCCAATGAGATTAAATCCAAATCTCTCAAACAGAAATTCTCAATTAGTGGGCCACACTTACCCATTAATTTCCAATTTTTCCCATGGGTCATCTACCTATGAAAATCCCCAAAATGTCCCAAAGACACGAATTCTCAATTAGTGGGCCACACTTACCCATTAATTCCCAAATTCCAAACTACGTTGGTTTGATCCCTTTGAAAGGGTATGTAGGCAGTCTAGAGGTTCAATCTAGATGCAACCATCCCAAACACAATTCCATATCAAATCCCTGGTTTATTAAGCTAAATTCATTCAAACACTCCTCAATCAAATTCATTCAACTTCCTCCAATTGTGATAAGTCATTTATTCATTGCGAATCTTTGAACTACGAGTGGCTTGATTCTTGCAATGGATACGTAGGCACCCTGAGGTTGGACTTGGGAGCAGCTGCATAACCAAACACACACGTTTTGTTTCTTTATGATGGAATCAAAGGGTTTTCCCTTGTAGCAAGGGATTGTAATTAAGAGATTTGCGTCTCGAATGAGTCGAACCTAAAATAATAAAACCTC